TGGTGCGATCTCGGCTCACCGCAACCTCCGCCTCCTGGGTTCAGGCAATTCTCCTGCCTCAGCCTCCTGAGTAGCTGGGATTACAGGCACGCACCACCATGCCCAGCTAATCCTTTGTATTTCCAGTAGAGACGGAGTTTCACCGTGTTGACCAGGATGGTCTCGATCTCCTGACCTCGTGATCCACCCGCCTCGGCCTCCCAAAGTGCTGGGATCACAGGCTTGAGCCACCGCGCCCGGCCCAACAAAATTCTTTTAAAAACAATGTAATATTTGCCTGATCTTTGGTTGTAGTATATTATATAATTTATAAAATTATAAAACATTGATAATTCAGAAATTTAACTAAAACGCTCTTTAAAGTGCCAAAACTGATTAATAAAATGAAGTATATAATAAGCAATGCTAAATGTGAAGTCACAGAGAAGCTTTTCAGTATAAATCAATTTAAAAATACTAAATAAGTTAGGAAGAAGAAAAATAATTTAGGTAGAAATGGTAAGTCTTCACTAGTTGATAAGGAAACAGGCTTTGTCTGCCACCTAGAAATAAAACTTAAATGGCTAAAGAATGATAAGGTTGGGTGTGCTGGCTCACGTCTGTAATCCCAGGACTTTGGGAGGCCAAGGCGGGCAGATCATGAGGTCAAGAGATTGAGAGCATCCTAGCCAACATGGTGAAACTCTGCCTCTACTAAAAATAAAAAAATTAGCTGGGCATGGTGGTACATGTCTGTAGTCCCAGCTATTCAGGAGGGTGAGGCAGGAGAATCACTTGAACCCAGGAGGCGAAGGTTGCAGTAAGCTGAGATTGAACCACTGCACTCCAGCCTGGCAACAGAGCGAGACTGCCACGCGCACACGCGCGCGTGTACACACACACACACACACACACACACACACACACACACACAAACGATATCCAAAGGAAAAGAACAAATCTGATGCTTAATCTACTACTGAGATTTACTTTACTGAGAAAGTAAACGGACTTCCCTTATGTCATACACAAGCTTTGTCCTCAATCTTGTTTGTTAAATATAAACATGGTATATCTTTTTATTCTACACAGAAGTCATTTTACAAGATATCTTATATATTTTATGAGCTCATCATTATTTTATCTAGTATTCAGTTGCATACTTGAACAGATTTTAAGTTCATTTAGTATGTTAATTTTGTCTTTTAACTAGTGTTATCCTAATTTAAAACACAAGGTAATTTATTAAATCATTTTCTATTCAGAGAATGATTTAAATATCTTTTTGAGTTGTTATACGCTTTTCTAAAATTTTAGGGTGATGGCCTTCTGTAAAATTGACACAAATTATTACTATCCTATGGAGTCCTAAATGTAACTGAATCTTGCTTCATAACTTACAAAAATGTTAAAACAAAGATAATTGTACATTAAAATGTTTATTAACCGTAAGATGGCACAAAATAAAATTTGGCAACTCACTAGTTAATGATGATGAGCCCATAAAATCCAAAAAATAAATTTTATTTTATTTAAGCAAAATCCCACCACCCGCCATAAACCTGATGCTCATTCATGTTGTTGCTTGGATGGTGCTTGCTATCCTGGTATCCTACCTCAAATAACTACCTCAAGACTGAAAGACATGTCTCACCAAGAAGGCCGTATCATAATTACATTGAACCTCTGTGATCTATCCCACTACTAACTCAGTTTTCATTATATAATCTTCATGTATTTTTTTCCCCTTCAGTTTAGCAGTCTCTCGTTCCCTAATTGTTTCATGGATACATCTCTTAAATATCTAAGCTCTGTGGGCAGAGATCAAATATTCAGGAGAACGAAATACTATTTCAGAGACAGAAAATATTTTTGAGATTCATGTTAAATTTTCTCATATACTTCTTATTTTGGGAATAACACAATTAATTAGCTTGATCAAATAGTGCAGCACATAAGTTAACACTCATTACATGGTGAAATTAGAAAATATCACAATTGTGCTGTTACCCAAATGTTTAAAACACACAAAAAAATTTTAATGGTAAAATTATTTGTAATTCTGACATTCAAATCTACTACTTCACTTGAAAAAGCTATGTTTGGCAATTACAAAATACTTATAATTAATGAGATGCAAATATTTTAACAATTTTAGTTTAAGTCTTTTTTGAATAATGCTAAAAATGCATGCAACAGACAGCTAAACTACTATGTTCCAGTTTATTTTTTGGCTATTTCTATGATTTTCTTTATCCTTATCTTTGTTCTGGAGCAATATATATATATATATATATATATATATATATATGTGTGTGTGTGTGTGTGTGTGTGTGTGTGTGTGTGTATATCATATATAATATATATATTATATATGATATATATAATATATATTATATATATTATATATATATTATACATATAATATATATTATATATATAATATATATATTATATATGATATACACACACACACACACACACACACACACATATATATATATATATATACATATATAATCACTGATTCTTGAAAGTTACAAAGTTAATAGTTAGAAGTTATTTATTTAATTTGTATTATATTTCCTAACATACCTTTGTAGTATATTTTTGTAAAAGTTCATATGTTTAAGCAATAACAAAACACACACACAAAATTTAAAAGATAAATCTAGCCAAATCAAAGAAAACAAATTAAAAGGAATATTTAGTGGTCTATTTTATGAAAAGCGTTTTAATCTAATGTAAACTGCAGAAAGAAAGGAGTAAAGAACAGTCAGAAATGCCTAAATGAGAATGATATTGCCATGACTTGGATATGGTTTGTTTGTTCCCACAAAATCTCATGTTGAGAATTCCCAATGTGGGTTGGGAGGTGAGGCATGGTGGGAACGGTTTGCGTCAGGGGAGCAGGTCTCTCATGAATAGATTAATATCCTCCCTCATGGGTGACCAGGTTCTAATTCCATTAGTTTCTTGTGAGAGCTGGTTGTACAAAAGATCCTGGCACCTCCCCCTTTCTCTGGCTTCCTCTCTCACCATGTGATTTCTGCACACTGAGGCTCCCCTTCACCTTCTGCCATAGGTGGAAGCAGACTGAGGCCCCCACTGAATGCCCGATTTCAAACTTTTCAACAATGATAATCATGAGACAAACTTTTTTCCTTCATAAACTCTCCAGGCTTAAGTATTCTCTTGTGGCAATATGAAACATACAAAGTCAGGTATAAATTTAGTGATATTAGTATAAAATTTTTAAAGTCTTTTAAGGCTGAAAATTAATTGGCCCATTAATCTCTCAATAATAAAAATGCGAAGACTTTGAATTCATGTGCTCAACCTAAGTCAATAGCCTCTACAGAAGTCTCTTCTATGGTAAAGAAGAAAAAGAGAGAATAAATGTCAGAGAGCAGCTCAGATCCTGTAGTGCTAGGACCAAAAGATAGAAAAAAAAAATTGGTAATAAAGTAATTCATATACTTATTTCAAAAGGAAGGAAAAAGTCACAAAGATATCTACTATAGACTATGCAAACCTAAACTCATCAATAATTGATTCCAAAAGACATATTATTTGGCTCTTTTTAAGGTAAGGAATTCTAAGTGACTCATAACTATTTTTGTGTTTCCTCCCAGAAAACTGCCTAATGCTCCTCAACTCTCTTGCTGTAATATTAATTCCAAGGCCAAAATCAAGCAGACTGTTTTTAATTTCACATCTTTAGATTGACATAGTCTTTTCAAATAGACTACCTTAAATAAACTATGAAAAAATACCAAAATGATAGTAAAAATAAGTGATAGGCATTCACTTAGGCTAATATAAAACATGAAATCATAGTTCATTACATACCACAGCACTCAGGACATTTTGGATGTTGCATGTCATTCATTCCATACCCTGGAAAGCAGCGATTAATCCAAACCATTTGGAGAGTACCTTCAATGTAGTATATTTCAGGCAATGGTTCTGCACGTCTGCCAAGAGCTTCTACTTGTTGATTAAAAAATCTCTCTATGAGATTTTTAGCCTGAAATATAAATAAAATTTGATAAAAATTATTAGCTATAAAAATATAATTTTAAAACAAATAAGGATGCATGTGGAGTTAGAGTTTGAGGAAAACAAACTCTCAAGGTTTTTACGTTTTCTTGCACTCACAGAATATAAATAAAACACAAGAAACTGAAAAGATGTCTTTAATACACATCAAATATTTCTAAATGTACGTCTAATTTCAATGCAAAAAAATCATTTGAAGACATAACCAAGCTTTTTGGTCTCTTTGTATTTTGAATAATATATGGATAAGTAACTGAGTAAAATCAAGAAAGCTATTTGAAATTTATTGAATGGTAAGAAATGTATAGTACTTTAAAAATGTATTTTAAGCATCTGTAAGAAGCATACCCTGAGGCACAACATTCACTCTTTTCACAAAGGAAAATTTAGTTTAAAAACATGAGACAATATAACATATTACAACTTTTAGCTCTGTTTCAAAAATTAAGTCTAAATAATAATAAAGTATCATCTGATCTATACTCATCTTTATGTTTATAATAATTAGACTGACTTGCCTCCTAAAATTAACAAGAGGCTTATTCTCTATGACTGCTACAATCTACACATTAAAGTATGAGGTATGGTCATAACTTCAAACAGCTACCAGCTAGTTAGTTCTACTCCATTCTGCCATACTAACTTGCACCTCCAATCTGGTTAGGAGCAGGAACAAATGGACAACACAGGCTGATCTATAACCACTAATGGTGCACCTCATGTCTACTGAGTTCTTCCAATATCTTGTAAATTACACTCCTTCCATTACAATTTCTATAATGTCCACACTTGACCATGCAAAAACACCCACAGAGGATGATAAAACAACTTTGTTTCATGCATAATTTAAAATATCGCATAAAATTATTTTCAGGTTGTGTGTATAAGGCAGTGGTTCCCAACCTTTTCAGCACAAGGGAATGGTTTTATGGAAGACAATTTTTGCAAGGACCAGGGTGGCAGGATGGTTTCAGGATGAAACTGTTCCATTCTAGATCATTAGGCATTAAGATTCTCATAAGGGGGATTCCCCCAAGATGGCCTTATAAGAACAGCTCTAGAGTGTATTTCCCAGTGAGATTGAAGTAGAAGGCGAGTGATATCCCCATTTCCAACTTAGGTACCAGGTTCATTTCAATAGGACTGGTTGGACAGTGGGTGTAGCCCAAGGAGGATAAACCAAGACAGGGCAGGGTGCTGCCTCACTTGGGAAGTGCAACTGACTGGAGGATCGGGGACTGTCCCCCTGCCCCCCAATAGCACTCTGGTTCAGATACCATGTTTCTCCCATGGCCTCTGCAAACCACAGTCCAGGAGATCCCCAGCGGGCTGAAAAGGCCTGTGAGTAAACAGCACAGATCTGAGTGGCAGCTCCAGCCAGCGCCGGTTGTCAGCACAGATCTGGGCAGACATTTTGACTAGCACCGAGAGCACCTGTGGGACGGAGCTACCCGCTCCCCAGAAAGAGGGGGCGCTGAAAGCAGAGAGACAGGTGATAGGCTGGGTGGGTCCCACCCCCACATAAACAAGCAAACTGAAGCCTTCTCACTTGAGAGTTTCACAGCCAACACATAAGTTTGAGCCCGACCTAGGACGATTGAGCCTGATGGGGTGAAGGGCATCCGCCATTGCTGAGGTGGGTCTAAACCTACCTGTGTAAACAAAAGCCAGAGGAAGCCTACACAGCAGCTGGAATGAGGCTGTGACAGCCCAGCAGTGCCTCTGCAGGCAGACAAGGGACAGACTGCCTCCTCAAGTGGCTCCTCAACCCCTGTATACCCAAAAAGTCACCTCATACAGGAGAGCTCTGGATGACACCTGGGGGGCACCCTTCTGGGATGAAGCTACCAGAGGAAAGATCAGGAAGCAATCCTTTCTGCTCAGCAAACCCCACAGGTGATTCCTAGGCAAGCAAGGTCTGGAGTGGACCTGCAGCAGTCCTACAGCAAAGGGACCTGACTGTTAGAAGGAAAACTAAAAAACAAAAAGAAATAGTTTCAACATCAACAGAAAGAATGTCCACTCAGAGACCCCATTCAAAATGCCCAACTTCAAAGATCAAAGGTAGATAAATCCATAATGATAGGAAGAAACCAGCACTAAAGGATGAAATGAACAGAGACTAGAATGCCTATCCTCCCCCAAGGGCTCACCAAGGGATCAGAACTCCTCACCAGCAAGGGAACAAAACAGGATGGAGAATGAGTTTGATGAATTGACAGAAGCAGGCTTCAGAAGGTGGATAATAACAAACTTCTCTGAGCTAAAGGAACATGTTCTAACCCAATGCAAAGAAACTAAAAACCTTGAAAAAAAGTTAGACAAAATGCTAATTAGAATAACCAGCTTAGAGATGAACATAAACGACTTGATAGAGATGAAAAACACAGCACGAGAACATCAAGAAGCATACATAAGTTTCAATAGCCAAATCAATCAAGCAGAAGAAAGGATATCAGAGACTAAAGAGCAACTCAATGAAATAAAACAGGAAGGCAAGATTAGAGAAAAGAGAGTAAAAATAAATGAACAAAGCCTCCAAAAAATATGGGATTATGTGAAAAGACCTAATTCTACACTTATAGGTGTACCTCAATGTGATGGAGAGAATGAACCCAAGCTGAAAAACACTCTTCAGGTTCTCATCCAGGAGAATTTCCCAAACCTAGCAAGGCAGGCCAACATTCAAATTCAGGAAATACAGAGAAAACCACAAAGATATTCCTCAAGAAGAGCAACCCTAAGGCACATAATTGTCAGATTCACCAGGGTTGAAATGAGGGAAAAAATGCTAAGGGCAGCCAGAGGGAAAGGTTGGGACACTCACAAAGTGAAGCTCATCAGACTCACAGGGGTTCTCTTGGCAGAAACCCTACAAGCTAGAAGAGAGTGGGGGCCAATATTCAATATCCTTAACGAAAATGACTTTCAACCCAGAATTTCCTATCTAGCCAAACTAAGCTTCATAAGAGAAGGAGAAATAAAATCCTTTACAGACAAGCAATTGCTGAGAGATTTCATCACAACCAGAACTGCCTTACAAGAGCTTCTGAAAGAAACACTAAACATGGAAAGCAACAACCAGTACCAGCCACTGCAAAAATGTACCAAATTGTAAAGACCAATGAATCAATGAAGAAACTGCATCAACTGATGGACAAAACAACCAGCCAGTAACAAAATGGCAGGATCAAACTCACACATAACAATGTTAATGTTAAATATAAACGGCCTAAATGCCCCAATCCAAAGACACAGACTGGCAAGCTAGATAAAAGTCAAGACTCATTGGTGTGCTGTACTCAGGAGACCCATCTCACATGCAAAGACACACATAGACTCAAAATAAAGGGATGGAAGAAGATTGACCAAGCAAATGGAGAGCAAAAAAAAAGCAGGGGTTGCAATCCTACTCTCTGATAAAACAGACTTTAAATCAATAAAGATCAAAAGAGACAAGGAAGGGCATTCCATAAAGATAAAAGGATCAATGCAACAAGAAGAGTTAACTATCCTAAATTTATATTTACCCAATACAGGAGCACCCAGATACATATAGCAAGTTCTTAATGACCTACAAGAGACTTAGACTCCCACACAATAATAGTGGGAGACTTTAACACTCCATTGTCAATATCAGACAGAACAACGAGACAGAAAACCAACAAGAACATCCAGGACTTGAATGCAGATCTGGACCAAGCAGACCTAATAAACATCTGCACAACTCTCCACCCCAAAACCACAGAATGTACACTCTTCTTAGCACCACATCATACTTACTCTAAAACTGACCACATAATTGGAAGTAAATCACTCCTCAGCAAATGCAAAAGAATAGAAATCGTAACAGTCTCTCAGACCAGAGTGCACACAACTTAGAGCTCAGTATTGAGAAACTCACCCCAAACCACACAACTATATGGAAACTCAACAACTTGCTCCTGAATGATGACTGGATAAACAATGAAATGAAGGCAGAAACAAATGTTCCTTGAAACCAATGAGAATGAAGACACAACATACCAGAATCTCTGGGACACATTTAAAGCAGTGTCTAAAGGGAAATTTATAGCAATAAATACCCACATGAGAAGTGAGGAAAGATCTAAAATCGACACACTATGGTCAAAATTGAAAGAGCTAGAGAAGCAAGATCAAAAAAATTGAAAAGCTAGCAGAAGACAAGAAATAACTAAGATCAGAGCAGAACTGAAGGAGACAGAGACACAAAAACCCCTTCAAAAAAAATCAATAAATCCAGGAGCTGGTTTTTTGAAAATATCAACAAAATAGATAGATTGCTAGCCAGGCTAATAAAAAAAGAAGAGAGAGAAGAATCAAAGAGATGGAATAAAAAATGATAAAGGGGATATCACCAACGAGTCCACAGAAATACAAACTACCATCAGAGATCACAACAAACAACACTATGCTCATAAACCAGTACACCTAGAAGAAATTGATAAATTCCTGGATGCTTACACCCTCCCAAGCCTAGACCAGGAAGAAGTTCAATCCCTGAATAGACCAATAACAAGGTCTGAAGTTGAGGCAGCAATTAATACCCTACCAAACAAAAAAAATCCAGGTCCAGATGGGTTTACAGCCAAATTCTACCAGACATACAAAGAGGAACTGGGACCATTTTTTCTGAAACTATTCCAAACAATACAAAAAGAGGGAATCCTCCCTAACTCGTTTTATGAGACCAACATTATCCTGATACAAAAACCAGGCAGAGACACAACTGAAAAAGAAAACTTCAGGCCAATATGCATGATGAACATCAATGCAAAAATCTTCAGTAAAATACTGGCAAACCAAATGCAACAGCATATCAAAAAGCTTATCCATAACGATCAAGTCAGATTAATCCTGGGGATACAAGGCTGGTTCAACATACACAAATCTATAAACACAATCCATCACATAAACAGAACCAAGGACAAAAACCACATGATCATC